TCCCCAGCCAGCCATGGGGAATTCTGGGAGTTGAAGTCCACTCATCTCAAAAGTCGCCAAGGTTGAGAAACACTGATCTAGAGTACTGTAACATTAGTTGTCTATTCCAAATTGTGGGTTCGATTTGGATGGTATATCTGATGTGAACAAGGTGACCCGCGTGGCTTTGAACACCCCTCTCTTTTTTTCTTTTGAGTTGTGGGTCACCGTCTGTGCCAATTTGGCCATTGATTGTATGGCTTCAGTACAGGAAGGATTTTGTCTATTGGTGCCAAATTGTATATGCCACTTGCTTACTTGAAGGAAAGGGGGTCACAGAAGCCTATGAGACTGAAAGAAAAGACCCTAAAAGGATAACAGCCCCCACCCCCAGGAAGTAGCTAAAGGCTATCCTGTCACTATTAGTGCTTAGAGAAAGATGAACCAGGATTGAAGAGACTCCCTAAGCTGGAGAAGTTAGGGGTTTCCATCTCTTAGGAGTGTAGGAGATGCTACAGAGAAGACACATCAACCATAATTAAATTAAGGTTTTATGTGTTTATATATTTTATGTTCTAATGTTTGTTGTGAATCGCCCAGAGTTCCCCCATTGGGGGGAGATAGGCGGTTGAAAAATTTAATAAATAAATAAATAAACCCCCCACCCACCCTGTTCACTTCACGTGAGTTAGGGAGCCTCAGCATGACCCCCTTAAAGAAGCAGAAAAGACAGGCCAAATCTTGCTAGGAGAGAGGACTGAAGTCCCCAGGAGGACACCCAACTCTTGGTATTTTGTCCTGGGCGCCTGGCTTGTTTGCAAGACCCCAGATCTGTCGTCAGCTGCTGCTCCATCTTGACGGCTCCTTAGAATCTCTACTGTCTCCTAAGGTGACCCAAGCTTGAGATTCGGATCCTGTTTCACCCCTTGAGAAAGCAGTTTCCTGTTTGCATTCCTCTGCGCCCAGAATAATTCCCTGGATGGGAAACAGAAAATCCTGCTGATGTCATTATTTGGCCTAGCTTGACTCAGGCCCCAAGGGAATTTCTGCATCTTTAAAAATCCCACAGAAGGGAGAATGGGGGGCGGGGGGGGGAGAAAGGAGTGACTTTTCCAGATCTTGGGATCATGTTTTGAGACAGCAATACAGCTGTCAGGCTGAAACAAAACAGGTTTGGCTTCAGCCAGGCATTACTGGCAAACCTCGTAGCAGTGGCCAGGTTCAATATCTTGTTGAGCAGTGAGGATGAAGCACAGATCTGGCTGCAAAGAAATACACCCAAAAGTGTTCATATACTCAATGAGGGCTTTTTTCCAAGTTCACAGTTCACAGAGTATCTTTTTTTATGTAGCAGCGTGTGGCTACTATAGGATAAATACACAGGCAGCCTTTCCCGGAATTTTCTGGGCAAAGGTTGCACTTAAACCTTCGTATGTAACCATGTAGGGACATCAGCCCGGAATGAGAGTAATCTCAATTCTAATTTAGTTAGATTAATATTCCTCCTGCTCTATCATGAGCAATGGGAATTTTGCTGTAATTTGCTTCCCTGCCTTCAGTTCTGGATAGGGATAGGAGTCTAAGTTCAAGAGATTCCCTGGATGATTGGGATCCTCGTGAGGGGAAAAAGGCAGACCATAGAGGCAGCCTTGTGCTTCGTAGAGGGAAGGTAGGATATTAGTGTAAGAAAAAGAAAAAACAAACTTCTGTACAGAGGCTTTGCACAGCCTGGATGTAGCTACTGAGGGGCTGGGACCGCACAAGATCCTGTGTCAGGTCAGTAAAAACTCAAAGGCAGCCTTCAGCCAAGACTTCAGCTCGAGTGGCTGCATTCACACATTGAATGAATGAAAAAATCATTGAGTTGGCTAGAGCTTTGGGAGTGTGCGCGTGCGGCTTAGTGTGTTGAACAAATGAAGCCAGGGCAATTGCAAATGCAGAAGATAGGTCCAGCATGTTGGCTGAATGAACTCATCTGATGCAGAAAAGGCTGGTGGGTGGGAGCAAGATGGAGATGTTTTTTCTGAGGGTGGGGGAACCCAAGTGGGCTGGGGAGGCTAGGACACTGTAATGGTATGTGGGCATGACCTTGGGAGACAGGAGGAAGAGCCGCAGATCAGACAACCATCATGCAAGAGGTATCTTGATGGGCGTTCACTCTTTTGAGGTAGTCCAGACAAGAATAATGAATCCTAGCTCTTATCTTTACTGTAAGGTTACATTAACAGGATCTTGCAAGACTAAAAGTATTTCTCCCCTCCTTTCCTTTTACTCTGCAGAAAACTAGGGAGGGTCCCTTCTGAAATGCGTCCCACACCCTCCCTCCTCCTGTGGGCTCTTTTGCATGACGGTTGTCTAGTTTGCAGCTCTTCCTGCTGTCTCCCAAGGTCATTCCCACATGCCATTACAGACACAGCTTGACATAGGAGCTGATGCTTGAGTTGGGGCAAATGCATGACCTGGGCAGGATCTTGTCCTTTCAACTGGGTCTCAGCTCTTTGTGCTCCCTCTTGGCTTCCTTCCAGCAGTGGCACCACCTCTCCCCGCACGACCCCCAGCAACTCTCCGTCTTTGAGAAAGCGCCTCCTACAGCTGCCTGCCCGGCCTGCTCCAGAGCCACCCTTGGAGACCATGGTGGAAAAGGGCACCGATAACCCTGCTGAGCGGGCCCCTCCACCGGGGCCCCCTCAGGGCAACCCTCTCAACTACCCACTCAGCGGGCGCAGCTTTATTCGCAATAACAAGGTACGATGGACATCTGGGGGCAGGTAAAACAGTGGTAGAATGCCTTTTTCGAGATCTGATTGTTGAACTGCTCAGCTGGTGTGGTCCTTTCTATGCATTTCTCACCACCTGGCAGCCCTTTGAGATAGGCCAGATCAGGAAAGAGACTCCACAAGAAATACTGGAAGTCTCCTTTATTGATATAGGCCAGTGTTTCTCAACCTTGGCAGCTTTAAGATGTGTGGACTTCAACTCCCTGGCTGGCTGGGGAATTCTGGGGGTTGAGGTCCACGTATCTTACAGCCATCAGGGTTGAGAAATTTTGAAAGCCTGACCGCATTTCCCCTTCCCTCCCTCTTGTAGTAAAGACAGTCAAGGCAGGAGAATCTTGAGCTTCCTTCTCACGCCTTCCTGTTTTCCTGGGCAAAGTTAATGTTTTACTTATGGTCGCCGTGTATCTTCTCCAAGGTCATCTCTGCACTTCTCTACACCACCAGAATGGTGGACTTCATCCATTGGGGTTTCCAGATTACAAATGATCTCTCCTGAAAGCTATGTTGGGCCCTTCATTGCCTGCTTTTCTGCTGCAGTTAGCTTGTTTGTTAAGGGCACTTTGGGTATACTGTTTTTGTTATATGCCCTTTTTCTACAGATACTTTTTTCATGTTTTTTTCCTTCTACATTTTTAAACAAATATTTATTAGATATGTATAATATATATTTATTATATATTTATTATATATAATTATAATTATATATTATTACGTGTATTCATTACAATTATTATGTTTATTTATTACAATTATTACATACATTATTATATATGTATAATATATAATTATTATATATTATTACCCTGATTTTACCTATTATGATGGCCCCTGATTCAGAGCAGGGCCTGAAGAAAGGAGGCTCTTTACAGACTGAGCAATACCTCCCTGGTCAATTACTGTCCCATTCAAGGTATTGCTTCAGACCCCCAAATGAATGAATTCACTGCAGTACTTTATTTAGGCCAGTTCTGCCAACCACTCAGTTTGCAGAAAACAACTTTGGACATGTGTCCTTCCTGTGAACAGTGCTAATGTTCCTTTTCCTCTCTCTTCCTTTCAGAAAATGCAGAGCTGGTACAGTGTAAGTAGATGATGATGATGGTATTTTTTTTATCCTGCCTTTTTTATATAGGACTCAAGGCAGTGAATATATCTAAAACTCCTTTCTCCTCCTATTTTCCCCACAACAACAATCCTGGGAGGTGGGCTGGGCTGAGAGTGAGGGAGCAGCCCAGCTGGTTTTCATGCCTAAGACTAGAAATCACCATGTCCTGGTTTCCAGGCTAGCACCTTCACCACTACACCAAACTGGCTGTTCAATATTGTTTTTCTGTAGGAGAGTTAAGAATAAAAGCTATTAGAAGCCTAAACATATTGCCTTAAGATAAAGAGTCAGAAGGACGAAAATTCACCAAAGAGATATATTGCTTTATGTCCCCAATCCATTTGAGTTTCTAACTTAAAGACTCTTATTAAGGAGGGAGCCCTATAGATGCCGTGACCACCTGTCCTTTATTATAAAGGTCTGTCCTTTATTTCAGAAAGCTGCCCTTTAGATTTATTTAATTTAATGATTTGGTTTCTTGGTTTTGCTCTTGGTTTTTTCTTTGTAAAGCAAAGTTATAAACATAATTGTTATTTTTTTTGGTATCCTGATGAACCTCTTTCAGATTCACTCCTTTTTCAGGTTGGGCCTTTATTTTTCCCCCAGAAAAGATGGTCATTGTACCTATAGAGCTCAGCAGAACTCATTTTACTTGTTTCACTGAATGTAGTTTGCACGTTTACTCAGAAACTGGGTTCCTTGCTGCTTATCAAAGTTATCCAAAAGAAATATAGCTGTGCATTTCAGAGGGCATTCTCCTCCCTCAGCAAGATAAGACCAAAAAGAAAAAAAAAAAGGATTTGCTTCCTTACCAGATTCTCAGCAAATCTAAAACAATCCTGGGTGAGTTGTTTGGCGCCCCCCCCTCCCCCCCCAGCTTTTCTTTTAAGTTAACTACAGTACTTCTGACATTTTTTGAAAGCCTAAGCAGAGGGAGAATTGGGG